CCTAAAATAGCTAAAACTAAAAACAAACTAAAAACTACTTCCAAAAACATTCAGCGTTTTTTGGGTTCATTGAGAACATGGTTGTTGTTCAATAATAACATTATTCCTCAAAAATACAACTTGCCTAATAATTCTGCACTCCCTGTAGGAGCTACAGCCAATTAGCCAACAATGTCTACTATCCATGCACATATGTTGTGCGCATATTCCCTGGTCACTTTATTAGGTATATCTGTTCACCTGCTAATTAATGCAAATTTCTACTAAGCTATTTACACGGCTGCATCTCAATGCATTTAACTGTGTAGACATGGTCAAAAGAACCTTCAGAAATTTAAACAGAGGATAATAGGGAAGAAACATGACTTTGAACAAATGGTTATTGATGCCAGACAGGCTGGTTTTGAGTATTTCAGAAAGTGGTGATGTACCGGGTTTTTCCCTCACAACCATCTCTAGAATTTACATAAAATGGTCAGTGAAAATGCGTTATTGATACCATGGGTATGAGAACATTGGGTATAGCAGCAGAAGACCACTGGATTGCCACTCCTGCTAGCTAAGAATAGTTTACACAGGATCACCAAAATTGGACAATAGAAGATCATAAAAACATTGCCTTTTCTGATATGTCTTCATTTCTACTGCTACATGCATATTGTTGGGTCAGAACCTATATGCGTTCATGGCATAAATACCATGAACGCGTTGATCCATCGGACCCTTTTCACGCTTCGCCATTCAAAAGCATGAAAACGGTGTGCATGCAGAAGTTGCAGTAAATTGCCGCAACAGCAGAGGGAGATATTTTATTTCAAGCCAACATGAAAATAACCAGGAAAGTGCTAGACAGACATTATTCCCCATTTGCATGTATATAGATATTAGCCACCCATCTTATTCATTTCTGATGATTAAGAACCCTGAAATTACTTCTTGTCTTTAATATATTATCTCCCCCTGCTGGTAATGCAACTTCTGCATGTGTGTCCATTTCACATTTTGGAGAGGCAAAGCGTGAAATAGACACAGTGGACCGGCGTGTCTATTACACATTTTGGTGTGATATCAGGTTGCTTTATGATCACCCCATGTCCCAAAGTTCAAATGATTTGGAACTGGTTTCCTCAACATGAAGATTTATGTGGTCTACTTAAACTGCCTCCACAGTAGAGCCCAACTGATATAGGATTTGTAAGACTGACACTGATATTTGGACACTTCACACAAACACACAACACAAGTAGATAGGTTATCATTTATTGACTTATTTATTTATTTACTTGTTTACACTTTACAAACAAATGTGCTGCCAACAAGGAAAAACTATGCAACATCAACACTCATAACATGATTGAAGAGTCTTTTTCCCATCTCTTCTTTACTTTTACTTTTTCATTCATAATCTGTTATAAAAGCAGATACTAATCGATCAGCAATTAGCTCATATTGGTAGATAAAATCAACTTGCCAATATATTGGTCAGGCTGTCTTCTACAATCTAAAGATTTCAGTGAAGTCGAGCACTTTTGCGATGTGGTCGAATTAAAAAATTAACATCACACAGATGTGCACTAACTGTGTGATGATATCATGTCATTATGGACCTAAATCTCTGAGAATTGTTTCCAGCACCTTGTTGAATCTATGCCACAGTTCTGAGTTCCAAAGGTGGGTAGAACCTGGTACTAGCAATGTGTAACTAAGAAAAGGTGTATGGTTTGTACAATCATGCAGAAATGAGGGTGTTGCCTAATTTTCTCTGACACTGTTCTCTAACTGCAGGTAAAGCAGGATCATACCTCTGGAAAAACTTTGCATGTGTGTGTATATCTGTGGATTAGTGAGATAGTGAGCTGTTCAAAGGTTCAGTGTGTTTTCCAGGTATACTAAGTTTTGACTGCCTGTTGCTCAAGCTTAAAAACATAAAGACCAACAGGCTCTTTTTTTTAATTAAAAATGTGCAATGGTGGATTTCTATCCAGCAGAGCAGTAAGTCTGTATAAGTTATTTTTGTCTGTTTCTAAATGCAAGAGAGTACGTTTTGCAGCTTTTTTCTGTATGTTTGTGTGTCTCTTCTAAATATAAAATTGAATTTGTGGAGGTGTTAGTGATTTGAAAATGTTATGAACTGCACTATAATTGCCAAAAATATAGTACTGTGTGTGTACCCCTCTCCATGTAACTACATTTAAAAATAAAATATGTGCGATTGCAAAGTGTTAAATGAGTAATAAAAAAAAATCAATATCCAGTTATTCACAACAAACAAAGCCTAGTGATTATAAATAGTGTTTAAACTGTTTAGATCAATATGTAATATGGACACACCATTAACGCATATATAGACCAACCAGCTAACCTGACTATCACAGCATATAACAGTAGAACCACGATCATAATAGATCTCCTATTGGGTTTGGACCTAATTGGCTCGTCCATCCTGTCAGTAATTGTGTGCGTCCCTTGAGTGTTGATGTATTTGACATGCTGGGAAAGGGGTTTCGGGAGAGAGAGAGACTGTAAGCGAGTTGGATAAAGTCTCAGAGATCCAATACAATTAAGTGATTTACTTACAGGGATGTTTGTGACCCTGATATAAAATCTGTGAGACGTACAAGAAGAACCCTGTAGCTGAGTTAGAGCTTGTGGATGGGCATCCTTTTGGGATATTAAAGGGAATACACCTCCGCTTTTTCTTGAAGGAGTCCATGTTTACACTATTCGGAGGCCATTTCAGGCATCCAGTTAGTAAGCTCTATGTTCTGCTGAAAATCTAAACTATTTATATTTCGTCTTCGGTTGCTTAGATGTCAGATGGCGCCACACGCAAAGGTCAGATGTGCTGTTTTTTGGGGCCCAACTGAGTATCATCAAGTGCTCCATGACATTCTGGGTCTGAGCTGCGTCTTCTATACTCAATGATTAAAAAGTGTTTATAGAGCTTGGAATATATGTGATTTCATTTCTGCACCTACACATTTATGAAGTTGCACTTTGCAAGATGCATAAAGTCATGTAAGACTTGATTAGTAAAAAAAAAAAAGTCACTTTTTAAAGTGTATTTCTGAAGTGGCAAGCCTCATTCATTCAGCCATATAATGTACAGGTAATACTATACACCATGAAATTAAATGTTCCTCCAGAGCATGACAAGGCTTAAACCATACAAGACTGCAAACAGAATTACAAAAGGTACACAGCATTATAAAAATATAAATATATAAATACAGTATAAATACATACAGATGAAAAAATTACATTAAAATTCCTTACAGTTTCTACTTTGCAAAACAAAACAACTGCACCACGCCAGTCCGACGTAAGATTTCTCCTCTGAATGACTTTCAAATCTGTCTGATTAATAAAAGACTCTGTGGTTTCACAGCAGCAGCTCCCTGCACCCGAACAACTTTTGTTTGGGTTTGTAATTGGATTTAACAAGCACAAGCTGCGACACAGCGTCATTTCTGTTGACTGCATGTCATTTGAGAGCAATGTGTTGAATCTCAACATTTTATTGATCGAACGGCAGCTTCGAGTGATTTCCCTTTAGATCTTTATGCGCTTAATCCATTCAAAGTCTGTGCATCACCTCAACGTAAATGTTGCCATGAAATCAAATCTCTCACAATGCATTTTAAGGAATCTTATGGAATCTGAGCCCTTGTTAGTGTTTTTTTCCCCCGAGTATTAATTCAAATAATCCGTGTGGGGATTAATTTGTGTTTATATTTCTGTATATAACATCCAGGAGATTGCATTCAGAAAATCTGCTTGTGGCCAAACAGCTAGGCTGGACAAGCCTGCATCAGGCAGCTCTGGTCAGACTGTTTTCCACACAAAAGCATCCAGCAGATCAGACACAGGAATGTATAGAATTCAAAATGTGTCAAGGGAATTCAATAACCAGGCTCAGCCTCTATCCATTTAACCTAAGATGGGTTCACTAAGGATTACTGGTTTGGTTTCTATATTAAAGAAGATTTAAATAGTTAATTCTAGTCAAGTGGAGTTGACATGAGCAATTTGCCTTGACAAATAAAGCCTGACAGCATCCCTTTTGATGAAACCACCAATTTGCCAACCAGGTGTTATAACCACCTGACCTATTCAGATATCCATACCTGCTGGGTACAGAGCAGCTGCTGACCAAATGTCAAAGCAGGTTTTTGTTGTTATGGTGGCTTATTAATATTTTCCAGAAGGCAGTCATACTGTTCTTTCATTTCTTTCTCCCCTTTTAGCACTGACTCAATCAAAAGAGATAAGTCTTAAATCAAAATCACCACAATCATTAGCATTATTCAGTTATTTGTCATGCTTTTTATGTGTTAGTTAGAATATGGCAGTAACTCGGAACATACATATAATATACACATCTTTTTTTTTAAATATTCACATAGATCATAAAAGGGTAACATCAACTCCATCAAAAGCGCTCTCGAGGCACTCAGGCTTATCAAGAGAGGTTTAGATACATTTTCCACTTTATTTATTTCCTGTTGTTGATAACTTGTGAAAGCTGCTTAGCGATGCTGACACAGGACGGAGTGTGCAGCCTGTACAGCAGTCACCTGCGCAGCACGAAGCTTGTGCCGAGAACCCGCTGCCTCTGAAAACCCAGCACTAATTACAAATTGGAAAGCACGAACAGATCTGAAATCAGCGCTTCGCGGGTTGGGAAGGGCACCGTGACACGGACACATCGTCACTCTCAAGTCTGAAAGTAGGGTATAACTCACTTATAGCCCCCCAGCCACCCACCCTTTCTTGGGGTGGTTAAAACTGTCTTATATTAACGCCCAGCCAGGATCGATAAGGTAAACAGTAGACCTGTCATACAAATAAAACAGTGCACAGCCGCTTGCGCTACCTGCAGTGTTATTTAATGTATGTATGTATCTTTGAGCGATATGTCATAGATTATAAACTACCCTGGATTATCTTATTTTTTCTCAAGTTTAATACATCACACAGAGAAAACAGAACTGTCTTACCTTCACGCCATAAGTTTCAGAATCTTTGCTTTCACAGGAAGCGGCTGTTAAATCCAAGATCATCCACAGTTAGCTCCCACTGTATCCTTTATTTGCTTTACTCATTGCTTACTCTTTAAAAAAACGAACCGTCTCTTCGCGTCGTCTCTGGTGCGAGGCATTAGTTCAAGCTGGTAGGTTAAAAAAAATAAACTACTGGGAGCCAAAATACATAGCCTAACAGTGAACGAATGAATTAAACAACACCTAAGATCACTTGCTGTTTTCCGGCCGTTTAATTAAACCCTCGAGGTTTATTTTATTTTAATCTTTTAAATTTTTAGATCAGTTCTGATCTTGAGAGAGCGGAGAAGCAGAAGCGGAAACTGTGCGGTGCCCTTCTGGTGTCCAGGAGCTTTACGCGGAGAGCTAAGTTACCTTCTGCACTGACGGAGACGGGAGACGCGGCGGCTGTGAAGAACTGTGGAAAATCAAGGCGGGGTTACATCTGTTTAATTCCTAAGAGGGATGCGTGTTTTTTTGTTTTTTTTGTAATGTCACCGGTGTAAGTGAAACCTTATTCCCTTATGTTTGCCTCAGATTTTCCACAGTTCTATCTTCTCTCCGTGGCACGGGCTGTGCTTTTTGTGTAATAAGTAAATAATGGAAAATGGCAGTGTGTGATTTAAAAAAAAATTGGACATCTTTTGATCACTAAATAAACAGTTGGTTAATAAGTGGGCACATGCTAGGATGTGAGTTGGTGGATCAGCACAAGCAGTGAAAAATGGTAATGAAAGAAATGAGCGAACACATGGACTTACAAATCCATCCCACGCATTCCTCATTATCATTTTCTTAGATAATGATCTTTATTATTTATATATGTATTTTTTTTTTTCATCTATTGCCAAACTTTGTCATTATTGTTAATTGCTGGCATTTCTTAGGACTCTGTTGGCTTTCATCCCAACTATATTACACAGTGAATGCTACCAAGTAAAAGGACAGGAAGCAAACTGTTTTGTTTGTCCTTGGGACAAGTAATAAGGAAAGAATGTATAATTTCATATTACACCACTGAGATTTATTTGCACCTGCTGGTTCCATTCAGTACAAATGACACAAACCACCTTCCATCAGTGTGTGCATATATAGGGAAGTCCAAACCAGAAATATAAATGTTACATTGTTAAATTCTCCCAATTCTTTTTGATCTTTGGGCTGAAGGAAGGACAATACTCGGTGTATAAATGCTCAATCAACAATCTTTTATTCCATACAATTCAACACTTTATGAGCATAAACCATCCGGAGGGGAGATGAGCGCGGGAGGGTGTCCGCCTGATCTCGAAGTGTCTGAGCATTCCACACATTCTTATAGCTTAAGCTCCCCCTCCACTTAGTCATAAAACCTAAACATCCACATTCTTTCTCTCTCTCGGTGAGCCTAAGTTATGACCTTGGCTTCTGTGCAGTATGTTCTGTTCTTTGCTAATCAGACAAATAAGGCCATGACTCTCTGAAAACAGTATTTCTTATAACTCAGCAGCATAATGCATCATAAAACAATATCATTCATTCACAATGAATCAGCAGTCTAATGTAATAGAAATCAGTTTAACAAATGTAATAGTTATCACCTTCTAATTCAGGAGAATAATCCAAACTAAAACTACATAATAATTTCACAATCTTTAATTAGGGGTCTAACATGGCATAAGATAATTAAAATAATCTCACAACATCAGGATCAATTTTTGACTCTTTGTAAGTGGCATTGGACTGTCGCTTTCTTTTAATGACTGCGTGTGTGTGTTAGACAAAACCTCCTAGAAAGAAACATAGTTGTTGATGATCCATTGATGATCCATTTATTCATTATTTTACAACTAGAAATGCAATGTTTTGGCACTTTAGGAAGTACATGAATAGTTATATTAAGTGCAGTCCTGCCCAACTGCAGCACTTAAAATCTAGCTTTTATATCATCTTGCTCTCCTTTACACATGTGACTTAAATAAGAACTTCCATTTAAGCCAGACCTGGATAATATATTCATATCACATTTGACATCGAAATAAAATATTAATTACAGCCGGTAGGCACAGAAATACATTAAAAAAGGAGGAAGTAGAATAAGTCCAACAGTATGTTATACTTGGTGGCAGACGAATCACCTACAGTTTTTAAATATGTTTTTCTAAATGAATTCCTCATTATGCATGCTTTGACTTGGGAATTCTCACGTGCAGTGGACTTCTTCACTATTAACACTGTTTGAATGCACAAATTTTATCTTTAATGAAGCTTGCCTCGTTTTTTTCACAGGGTGACATTTCTTTGCATTGATTAGCAAACCTGACATTTTGCAAATATATTTCAAGTGCACCAAGAAGATACATTTAATGTTTAACATCAAGCTTTATGAATGCTTTCACATGGTTCCAAAAGTAATCACTTTGCAAGTGTGTGCATATTTCACACACATTCAAGAGAAAAAGGAAATGGCAAACCACTACCAGATAGATGTTTTCCCTTTACTGCGAATGTAATTAAAATAATGTTTTGGTTGTATTGCTTCTGTGGGCAGTTAAGCTGAGTGAAAAGTTTAGAAACGTCATCTACATACTCAGTTATAAGAAATAAGTAACTGAAGTGTGACTAAAACATGGCAACATGGCTGAAAGAACACAGACAAAGCAACAAAAAAAAGCTAGATTACAACACCCCAAATCTTCACAGCGGATGAAATGTCACATATTAGTGACACAACCAGAGCATTAAAATTCTCCTCTGTTGGAGGCAGCTCTCACAAGGAGCAGCTTTTTTTTGCTTTTGCACTCTTGTGGGGACGTCTGTACCGAGGCAGATAGCCATTTTTGGATTTATGTCTGAATCACACATAAACACAGACACAAACAGGCACATAAACTCATACTGTGCACACAAAATATGCACACCCCCCAGGCTATCTGTGGGAGGCGCAAACACATCTAACTGCTAACTGCCATAAGGTAACGCTGGAGCCTGATGGTGCCTGATACGGTCTCTATTAATTTGTGACGATGAGTGGATGTCAGCAGATCGCAAAAATAAATGACAACAACTTTGACCAAATCAGAGTAATTTACAAACCAGTTTCACCCACATGTTACGCTAATGAACATCTCACAACCCACAAAAGGATTTCTTCCAGATAAGAGAACCACAAAGCACAATCTTAATGTCATGGGGCTAAGTTCTCGTCTCCAACTAGCACGCATTTTCAGCCTTGAATGGAGCTTGGAGAAATATTGTACATTCTAGACACATGCACGCCTTTCTAAGCCTGGTCAAGCACAGAGCCACCACCAGTGAGCAGATGCTGGCTTACGTGTTGGGAAAAAAATACATTGACCTGGCATGAAGGAGGGCCCTACTGTGACAGAAAAGACGTTCAGTCCCTATTTAACTCACATGAGCACAAAAAGCATGCACATATTTCCCATTCACTAGTCCTTAAAATGAATCATATTTTACACACCGGCAGTCAATGCTTTAAACTTGAACTCATCCTATAAAGAATTTATATGGTGTGACACTGGTGTGACATTGTGTGCTTGTTTCTGAGCTCTTTCCCTGGTTTAACACTTGCACTAAACCCCTGTCACACTCTATGCTGAGTGAGACAGAGTGACAAAGAGGGAGACAGTGTTGGCATGACTATCTGTTTGGGAGATAATAGTGACAGCAATTGCTCTGCAGAAAGGACTTAAGGCATGATGAGGAAGCATGAGATTAGAGATATCCAGATATAGGAGATGTGCTCGCAGCAGTAGGGTTGAGGCATGTAAATTACAGAAGTTAATATTCTGTTTTCAACATATCCCACAGTATGACTGAAAGCAATAATACCTTCATGCAATCCACTGCCACACATAACTGAAAACACAAACTTTGGATTTGCATTGTGTATTTCTTTATCATGATGAAGACCGATAATGCAATTATGTTCATTAACAAGAGCATCAAATATGCATTAACTTGCAGCTCTAATGAATCCAAAACATGGACATTGCCACTTCCGTCTAGGTAACATTTGCTCAGCAGAGTCAAGTTGTTGAAGATTTAATCTTTTTAGTCATGCAAGTAGTCTAACGCCAGAAATGAGGATGTTACATGGTGCACATCTTTGCCCCAGACTAAAATGTATAACAACAAGCATCACTTAAATATGATTTCTTTTGATGATCACTTCATCTTCAGTATTGCAACATGTCAAAATGCGAAATTCATAAGCTCTGATATTTTTGTTTTAGAGCCTAATAGTGTTGTAGAAAAGTCCAGGGCACCCCTCATGTGGAAACATAAATGGAAACACATTTAATTTTAACTAGCTTGAAAGTCAGTGTGATCCCAAACTGCTTCAGTAATGTTGAGGTCCAAGCTCTGGGGAGGCCAATCCATGAGTGATGATGTTCAACTGCGTGTTTTTTTTTCCAGGTATAGTGCATGACTGTCTGTTTGTGGTTATTCTCATGTTGAAAAATGAAGCGGTTGTCAATGTAATGCTTTCCAGATTGTATTGCATGGTGGATCAAAATCTGATGGCACTTTATTTTGCTCATAATTCCATCAGTTTTGACAAAATCCACTGCATCACTGGTGGAAATGCAGCCCCAAACCACGACAACCATGTTTTACAGATGGCTGCAGACACTCGCTGTTGTACCACTCTCCTGACCTCATTCATATCACTCAATAGGACCACTAATTCTCGGTGCAGTTCTTGTTTTATCTGGCATAACTCAACTTCTTTCTCCTGGTTTATTGACAGCAAGCTTTCCAATGAGATCATTTCTGGTGATCTTCAGTGAACAGTAAGATGAATCGACTGAAGGGCCAGATGCAAAGCCAACATTTTGTCTCCTGTTTCTCAAGGGCAAAACTTTCAGATGTTATTCATCTGTTGTAGACATTTTTTTAGGCCCGGATATTCATCTTTTGTCCTCCCACTTGTCCAGTTTCTTTAAAACTCTTAAGTACACTCTTCACAAGAAACTGAGTTATGCAAAGTTTTTTTTTTTTTGGCTAATAGCTCTTTGAAAGCCACCATGCTGCTGCAGAAAATATTATATTATGCCTGTTACACCATGTTATCTTTGGCATTTTTTATGAATGCAGCTAAAGAATTGTGTGTTTTTGTCACAGGCTGCTGGTAATAAAGTCCCTAATAATACAATGTAAAACTAATACTTTGCTTAATCGCACAAAACCAGTTCATTCCTTGAGTTGGGTGTTTTTTTCATGCTTGAATGATTAATAGGTCAGTGGTGGTTTAATAAAACATTCCTTTGAAAATGGTCAGGTACAAAACTGAAAGGTGGCTCCATAATGTAGCTTAATGCATTCACCTAACAAATGAAGGGTTGCTGGTTCAACACCAGCTGAAGGCACAAATCCTATT